CTGCTTCTGCAGTTGGTTACAATTCTGATTCCTTTTTGAAAGGTGGAGAAAAGGAAAAGAATTTTCTTAAGACTGTAAAAATATTTCAGGACTCAGTAGATCTCAGCTAGGTTTATTACAGCCAAGCTAACAATGAAAACAGCATTGGAAGGAAGAAGCATGTATGTGCATACACTTCTGAAGATTTATTTGGAGTAGAGAAACAGTTTTCCAGGTTTGTGAAAGAAATGCATGTTTGATTTCATTAGTGCAGCAAAGAATGCAGCAAAAAGAGCAGGTGAAAAGAGGTAGGGTGCCACTAGAAAGCCAAGGCCTCAGATTTTACTTCGTACAGAAACAAACCTTCTGGTTTACAAGTCTGAGCAGTAGAAATGTTGTTGCTTTCTGTGCACACGACTTGAATGTATTCATGCCCCAAGTCTGCAACTGCTACTCTGTGGCTATTCCAAGTCTCATTCTAAGAGCTCAAAGCATCCTTCAGATTGCAACACTGCCAAGTGCTATTCTTCATACAAGAAATGACAGATTAACAAGCAGACTCAACCTACCTTCCATTGTAAGTGGATGAGAAGGATAAATATGTGACTCAGGCACCACTTGCATCTCTAAAGATCATCAGATCAAAGATCCTGCACACTGTATTCATATTGTTTTATTAAAAATCTGAGTAAACAAACTGCAGTACTAACTGGCAGCTAACAATGCTGTGCAAAATATGTCCCCATTCCTGTTTTTTCCTTCAATCCACATGGCCTCTTTGCTTTTTCTGTTTTAAGTAGGCATTTCTCATTTCCTTCCTACTATCTGTGACTGTAGGAGTAGGAATTCACATATGGCACACTTCTCACTACCCAGATCAGGCACAAAAAACAACATTAATGTTAGCCCACAAGCTGAGGAAACAAAGCAAACCTTTCTCTCCACAATGTACAGTCAGCCTGGCAAGGTGGCATCATTCATGGCTAACGAAGAAGTGTCTAACAATGGTGAGAGAAGACAAGAGCAAAGGGAAGAGGATAAAACGTAAGTTTTTCAGTTCTCTCTTGTCTGCTGCAGCACAGCAGAATTGCTAAGTCACAGATTGAAACAGTGATTGAGCACCTGGTGGGAAGGCAGGGCCAACCCAGGGGAGCTCAGGTGCAGGCAATGTACCTGAGTGATTGGAAGGGGTGCAGCCAGGATCCATCCCTTCCCAGCCCTCATTTAAGGGTTGGCAGTGGAGGTAAGAGTACCTTGTTGGAGTTCCCTGCTTGCCTGAGGCCTCCTAAGGGTAAATGGCTATTTTTCCCTTGTCTGTGTGTTTGTATTTGAGCATGTCCTCATCTGCTGTAGCCTAGGGCTTTGCTGCTGTGCTGTTATTGCTATGTGTACCATTGTGTTACAGCTGCCACAGACCTCCTGTGTGAGCTCAATATAATTGCTTTATTCTTCAGGAATAAATTCCCTGGGACCAGGGCAGAGCTTAGTTAGAGCTCCCAGGCAGATGGTATGCTTGCAGAGCCTCTATGTAAGGCTGTTCTGGGTGTTTGATTTCTGATGAGCTTGAGGCCTCAGCGTTTCTTCATCTCCTGATGGTAGATCCCACCATTTTAAGACATCACAGGCAGGAAAATAAATCTATCGTAAGATAGAAGAAAAAGCCTTGGGCTCCTGTCCAAACACTTTAGTTACTTCTAGAGAACCTTTTCTATTGACATATGAGTTATATGTTTACAGTGGGTCTTAGAGAGAGCATAAATTACTTAGTGAAAGGAAGAGAAGATGTGGTTAACAAACAGAAGAGCAATTGCTCAGTGCTCTGTCAATACTACTCAATCCTTACTCACAGAGTTCGGGGTGCTTTTGAAAGAAGTTGAAACTCAGAGATAATGAAGGAACTGTGTGTAAGCCACCCAGCAGATCAGGACTGGAGAGCCCAGATCTCTTGATTTCATAGTGAATCACAGTCTGAATATGAATTAACAATTCTCTGCTGTTGTAAAAGAGCACTGATTGTATCAGGATACCCAGTTTTACAAAGATGCTCCTTTTTAATGAGTGGATAATCACAGAAAAATAGGGCTGTAGAAATCTAGAGAGCTTACCTCATCCATCACTGAAAACAGGGTTTAATAGAGCTGGAAGAATACAGCTATCCAGGTTACAACTATCTTTGAGATTTAAAAAGGTGATGTCAATCATTTCCTTCCATACAGCCCTGGAAAAGCTTTTGCCAGCACAGGTAGTGTGAGAGAGAATGAGTAGCACGGGGAAGAGAAAGGCAGTTGTGGTTTGTACCAGTTTCACGTGCTGGACTATGATTTTTTTTTTTTTCCAATTTCTTGTGTTTTTTAATGATCATTCTCAAAGGTCAGGAGTACTTTACAAAACAGAGTGGGAATTTTTTTTTATCACATGCAAAATTGATGAGGATGTTCTCTATTCAATTATCTTCATTGCTAATAAAATTACCACATAGAATCTGCCTTCACACAGGTTCTAGGAACCCACTGATATCTCTCTCCTCCTGACAGTGAACTATTGCTTGTGATCCAGTCAGTTTTTGTAGACCCTGTAATGCATTTATCCAGACAATATTTTTCAAACTTCTTAATGAAAATGTCATGTAACTGTCAAAAACCTAATCAAACTGATGGCATGTTCTGTCCCATGCAGAGGCCTTTCCTTACTGAAGGGGGGGGGAATCAAGTTATCTGGTGTTATTTATTTTTGACAAGTCCCTGTTGACTACTGTTGTTCCCTGGTTATCATCTATGCACTAATAGTTTGTGAGATGATTTGTCCTAGGATTTCCTGGGGGGGATTGAAGTTGATTGTTTTGACCAATCTATATTGCACTGGCTTTTCCCCTTCCCTCATTATCTCCCACCACCTTGAACAACTGGAAGTGATAGTTGCTGCTGGTGTTTTTCTTATCTCATCCATCTTAATTCAATTATTTCTTTAACTATCCTTATATCATATTCTTTAGACTCAGACTATTTGAAAACTCTTAATCCTTTCTTTCTCTGTTCCAGGCTGCAATCATTTTGTTCTTGGCATTACCTGTTCTAACTATCTGCTTGTGGGTGATCTGTTCTTGAATTTTGATGCAACAAAGGCACTGATCACTTTAATTTTCTTTACCATTTAAATGATAATGAAATTCTGGGAGAGCATTGCCTTGCTGACTACACATTTTAACTGAAACCCACCAGTACATTCATGTAGAAATAATCCATACAGTAATAAACTCTCCTTGCAAAAGACTTCATAAAATTCTGTTTATTATAAAACATAAGTTATTTGGCACTACTGTTTTCATTTATTCAGTTTTAAAGCTATACCAGTTCCTTGCAATTTCACTTTCTTGTTCTAATAGGTCCTCTAACTCAAAGCTAAGATTAAGATCTATGTTCTTCAAGAGCTTTTTCTAGGATTTCTAACACAGTGATACTAGTAATGTTATTTAAATGATGATAAATGGAGAAAGCAGTAGTTAAGTGGACCAGCCATGAACACTTGCATGTGTTTCACCTGGTTCTTATTTACTATGATTATAATTTTCTTCCTTCAATTACTTGTGTTGAATGAAGTACACAACACAAACGTATGTTATGTATTACATATTAAGTATATGAGTATATTTAAATTATGGCAACTTCTACTACACAGTTTCTGTTAACAATTGTAGGATGTCCACACAAGCAGCTCAGTACTAACACCAATGGCTGGACAGTTCTTTTATTCTTCTACTTGTCAAATACAGGAATGCAGCTTGCAAAGATAAGCACAAGTTATTTGCCCCATGGAGCTTACCAGCTGGGTTGTTTGCTGCCACAAACAACCTGGAACGTGTCCATCCCTCAGACACATACAACAGAACAACTTCTGCAGCTACAAGTGCAGGTGTCTGTGTTTCTTCCAGTCTGTCACTGTGTGCAGTGCCTGTGGGCTGTTTCTGGGTCTTTCTTGTCACAGTAGAAGTTCAGTCTATAGGTGAAAAAGATCAATAAATAGGATAGCAGCACATTGCCGGGTGGTGTTGTCTCAGATGCAGTTATTTCTTTTGATTGTGTTCACAAGGAAATGAACCTCTTGTGGTTGTGCTCTACCACTCCTTTTCCTCATAACTGGGTGGGTGCAAGAAACCCAGGTACGTGACTAAGAGAGATCAGGATCAAGATGTGAGCACTTCTCTTTTTTGGACTAGTAGCGACAGGCCCGTGGGTGCACTTCTAATTTCAAACCAGCACTAGCTGGCGTGCAGTCTTGAGCTGCTGGGGGTTCTCAGCGCGTGGAGGTGTTGATAAGAGCGCTGGCTGGGTGCTGTGCTGCTGGGCCCCTCCGCTCTGAGGGCAGCGGGTGGTGTGAGGAGAGCGAGAGAACGGGGATCATTGATAAGGGAGTGCAGAATGCTTATCTACAGCGAAATGGTGCTGGATAGGTCCTGCTGCTCGCAATCAAAACCACCATTTCCCTCATGTGCAGATATCACTTTCCTATCACCAGGTTTCGGTGATGAAGTGTAAGCAAGTAACTGCCTTATTTCCTTTTACACAAGATGCACGCAGTCATTGAGATTGGAACTCTGAGATCACCCAGCCCAGCTGTGCCCGATAACCACATCCGTCAGCGCCACGCTGACCCTTTTCTCGATCCCCTCCTGGGACGGTGCCCTGCCACCTCCCTGCGCAGCCCGTCTCAGCGTATCGCTGCTCTTTCTGACAATGATTTTTTTTCCTGATATCCAAGCCGAGCCATCTCTGGTGTAACTTGAGGACGTTCCCTCTCGTCCTGTTGCCAGGACTGCGCGCACGCCTGCCCGATTCCCTCAGTTTTCATCACACGAACGGTTTGCGCCTTTTACGTTCGCAGCCCTCGTTCGCCCCGGCCGGAGGGAGACGGGCGGCCGCGGGAGGCGGGAGCGCGCGGGGCGGAGCGAGGGCGGGGCGGGCGGCCGCGCTCAGCCAATCCGGGGCGGCTCGTCCATTTTTCGGCGTGAGGCAGGCACGTCGGTGGGGTGATGCTACGGCGCCGGGAAGGGGCCGGCAGGGCGGCGGGGAGCGGCCCGCCCGCTCGGGCTCGCCGCGGCTGAGGGGAGCGCCGCTCCTTGCTTCCCGCCATTCTCTCGCCGGGCGCGGGGCTGCGCGCGGGCCGAGGCGCGCGGGGAGAAGGCGGCGCGGGGCAGGTAGGGGTAGAGGTGGGGGTAGAGGTGGGGGTAGGGGTGGGGGCGGCCGGCCGGCAGCGGCGGTGCCGGGCTGGGGCTCGCCGGCTCCTTTCATCCGTCGCTCCGTCCGTCTCCTTGCAGGCTGCCGACGTCCGAGGGAAGGCGGAGCGCTCTTCTCCGAGGCGAGGGGAGGAAGCGGGACCCCCGGCGTTTCATGTTCCGCCGGCCCGACGGCATTTTGGCGTTGATTCCGACCCGCTCCCGCCCGCACCCGGACGGCGACGGCGAGGAGGAGCGGCGCCGTCCCGCCATGTCCCGGTACGGCCTCCGCAACCTGCTGGACTGGTTGTACGGCGGGGTGGACCCCAGCTTCGCCGGCAACGGAGGGCCGGAGTGCGCGGCCTTCCTGTCCGGGCGGCAGCGCTTGGTGGAGAGCCTGGTGTTCCTCAGCCTGGGCGCCGCCGAGATCCTGCTGGCGCTCTGCAAGCTGCGGCGGCTGCACCGCGCGGAGCTGGAGGGACACCTGCTGCAGCTGCACCGCGCCAAGCGGGAGAGCCTGGGCAAGAACCTGCTGCTCGTGGCGCTGTGCCTCGTCTTCGGGCTGGAGGTGGGCTTCAAGTTCGCCACCAGGACGCTCATCTACCTGCTGAACCCCTGCCACGTGGTCACCGCCATGCAGGTGAGGCTCGCTTTGGCTTCGTGCTGGCGAGGCGGTCGGCCTGCGGAGGTTCGAACCTTCGTAGTGGAGGTCCGAATAGCGAGGATTTGCGTCAGTGTTAGAGAGCTTGGCTTTTACTCGGCTGAATTGAACGCGGGGAGGGAAAAGGGTGAAACTGCAGCTCGCGTTAATGTCTAGCTCCGTGGATGAAAAGGCTTTTTTGTCACCAGAAAATGCCGTTCCCACCAGCTGCAGTGGGATAACTTGTGCCAGATCTGACTAAAAACAAGGTTACTGCTTGAGAGCCTGTGTGATTTACACAGCGCTTTTTTCAAGGGCTGCAAATGTGTTTTGTGAAGTCGTTAAAGCAGCAAAAGTTGTTTTTTGGTGCAGGCAATTTTGTTTTGCTTTGCTAATTTTAAAAGCAGCGTGATGATGGCAGGTGAGGATCATGTGTGAGGGTAACAGGTGTTATCCTTGTCTTCTACACAACGCTGAATGAATGGAGGTGGTTTGATACCTGTGGGTGAACTGTGTGCTTTAACAAGTCGTGGCTTAGTTGCTGATAGATGATAATGCACAGAATGTGTAGCTGCCAAACTAATAGAGACGTTCATAATGAGTGAGTGAACTGTGACATCTGAAGCTTACAAACTATCTGTGTGTGGTTCAGTGCGTGTACTTAGCTCACTGAGGTCGTCAAAAATAATCCTTTTACTAATTTTGCTAATTTTCTCACATCAACGCTGGGTAGGTAACTTACAACGTCTGAACTCAACAACAAATAGATGATTATGTTGTTGTTGTTGTTTTTGCTTTTAAAGCTGCTATGGTTTAAAAAAGAAGTCAGAAATAACAGATTAGACCAATACCATTCCTTTTCTGTTTGCAGATATCTAACTGGTAGTACTAGAGGTCTGGGGATGATGGGGATCCTTTGAAAAGAGGTCACACAGGCTTTTACAGCAATAATTGGGACATCTATAGAAAATAAGTTCCTGTTCCAGAATTTAATTAGTAGGTTATGTGAATTCCTAAGCTGTGAGGCAGCGCTAGGTCAGTATTTTACACCATAGTAGAAATGCTTTCCGTAAAGTGGTAACAGTTGTTGCACAATCAATTAGTATTGGTAAGGAAGTGGAAAACAGAAGGTTTCCAAGAGCTGTATAAAAAATAGAAAAATAAAACAATATAGCCACATTCCATTGCTTGGCAACACTCTATTTACTGGAATGTTTCCTGTTAATTCTCTGAGAAGATGATGTTGACATTATGAATTGACATTATGATGGCATTATGATTTGAATACTTTGTTCTCTTGGTACAGTATTATAATATTGTTTTATGATAGCACTATGGTATTACCAAGAAGTATCCATCAGAATGAGCCATCAGGCTGCCCAGGGAGGTTGTGGATGCCCCGTCCCTGGAGGTGTTCAAAGCCAGATTGGATGGGGCCCTGGGCAGTCTGGTCTAGCATTAGGTGGAATGGTGGTGGCCCTGCATGTGGCAGGGGGGTTGGAGATTCATGATCCTTGAGGTCCCTTCCAACCCTGACAATTCTGTGATTCTGTGATGAGGGAGGTGATTCTGTTCATCTACTCCGCTCTCATGAGACCCATCTGGAATACTGCATCCAGTTCTTGGCCCCCCAGCACAGGAAGGACACGCAGCTGCTGGAGCAGGTCCAGAGGGCCACAAAGATGATCAGAGGGCTGGAGCACCTCTCCTGTGAGGACAGGCTGAGAGAACTGGAGAAGAGAAGGCTCTGTGGGGACCTTATAGGGCCTGCCAGTACCTCAAGGAGGCCTACAGGAAAGCTGGGAAGGGACTTTTTATTCGGGCAGGTAGTGACAGGATGAGGGGAAATGGCTTTAAACTGGAAGAGGGTAGATTTAGATGAGATATTAGGAAGAAATTCTTTATGGTGAGGGTGGTGAGACACTGGAACAGGTTGTCCAGGGAGGCTGTGGGTGCTCTCACCCTGAAGGCATTCAAGGCCAGGCTGGATGGAGCTTTGAGAAACCAGGTCTGGTGGATTGCGTCCCTGCCTATAGCAGAGGGATTGGAATTAAATGCTCCTAAAGCTCCCTTCCAACCCAAACCATTCCATGAAAAACTGGTGCTTACAGGTAAATTGGGGGTAACATTGTTTAGCTCGCTTCTTAATGCCTATTCTCAGAGGTAGAGAGTTGACCTCTGTAGTCAGACTTGGACAATTCTTAATCTATTTCAGAGCAGTTGTGGTGCCTTCTTTCATATCCTGTGCTGATTACTCACTAGAAATGGTGTTACTGCACTTTGTGAAATTGAGAACGTGGATATGTCAGCGAACTTCAGAAGCAATGCCCCTGCATCCTCAAACAGATGCGTTAGAAATAGGCCCAGGCTTGAAGTAGAGAAATAATATAGCTGCAAAATGGACAGCTTTCAGCAGAGAAAACAACTTAGAAACAATGATAGTCAATGACCTCCGTCAGCAGGAAAATAATACACAGTACGTAGAATCTTGAAAGTGTTCTTCTGGCCTGACCTTGTGACAGCAATAGGTTGGCAAGATGAAAAATATGAAAATGTCATTTATCTTGCATTTCTGTTCTTACAGCATCTTGTACATTATGCTGCTGCAGGGACAGAATGTGAGGATGAACAAGGTAGGAGGTGAAGAGTTGAAGCATGCTATAGCATTTGCAGTCCTGTCAGAGGGAAGCCAGCAGTAGCTGTTTGTAAAGGTCTCTTCATCCACTCAGTTTCTGTTTTCTTCATGTGAGGCTGTTTCTCCTCAGCAGCAAAAGCTCTGGGCTCTGTGCCAAGAAATATTTGGAACTGGAAATTGTCCTTCAGACTTCATCTGCATAAGGCTTCTGCTTTTGTAAGACCTAAGGCTGAAATGAAATGACAAAACAAAGTGGGAATTATACATGTGGTGCATTTGAGCAGACAGAACTGTGTAGTATAATGGCTACCGTGGTCTACAGATGAATCTGTTTAGATCAGATGTCCAATTTCTGCTTGTCACACTGACCTGTGTTCACATCAAATCTTTTTCATAAGCAGAAAAAAACAGTTTACGTGTGTTACTGTTAGGATGGAGTGTTGGTTGAATGAATGTATTCAATTGCTGAAGCAGTTGTCCTGGTTATGGGATTGAACTTGTTGCCATCATGCCACTATTTGGATAATATGGAAACACTGCTGTTGATTTCCAGCCTGACGATAGCTTTTGGTGTCTTGCTTAGCTTAGAAACAATGTTGTTTTTTCACCAGTATTATAAGGGCAGCATCATTGAGAAATAAATGGATTTTTAAAGTTTATATCCATTTTAAGCAAAAAGCGAAATGGAAGTCCTGTTGTTTGTTAAATGTGTTGTTTCTGTGCTGTGGGGCTGGGGGTGTTCTGGTGCACAATGACAGCACACAGTGCAATAAAGGGGGGTCAGTAAGGTTTTTGAAGGAACTCTTGGAATTTGTGCTCATTTTAGAACTGAGTGTATATGGGGGTATGACTGAATCAGTGACACTGCTGCAAATCCAGCATAGAAGCTGTACTAACAGAGAAGCTGTGGGGGGAGTTTCTTTTCTTAAAAGTGAAGTCCCCTAGGGTGTTGTGAACTTTTTTTTTCCTTGCACAGCAGGAAAAATCCAGCATGCGTTTAGCAGGCTATCAGGCTATGTTACATTCTCAAGACATCAATTGTTTAAAGTATTTTAGGAACCATTCATTGCATTGAAATTAGAGATGTGAAGGAAATCTTTTAAGTTTCTGCTTCAGCAATGCTAGAGGGAGGATTCATCCCGTAGCATATAACTGTTATTGATCTCTAGATATTTGGTGTAGGAGGCTTTTGCAACTGTTGCTCACAATCAGTGTAATTTGACTAAATTGCATAAATAGAGTTGTCTCTGGGTAACCCATAGGACGTCAAGCAGGAGGTGCAGGCAGCTAAGGTTAAACAAAGACAAATATAAACTGGAACCCAGAGATGAAATTGGTCTGTATTGTGACTGAGGTATTTGGAAAACAAGATGTAGGAAAATACTTCTACACAGCAGTTGTGGGGTTTGTTAGCAGTAATGGTACAGCTGGTCCTCTTAGGATGTTCTGAGTTGTCCACTTCTTTGTTTTAAATATGCCAGTGCTTGACTTCAGAGTGATGACTTAACACCAAGCTATAAAATGAGATTTAGGTTAGTTTTGCTTCAGGAAGAGCTTTCTATAAGGCTGTTTGCAAGTGTTCTTACAGAATAATTTATTCCAGGTAGATCCTCAGCTGGTAGATTGTCATAATCTCTTCCAATTGCACACTGAATGCTCTTTAGGCAGCTAAGGACAGGCATTTGTGTGCTGTAAAGAAGGAAAAAGGCAAAGAAAAGATGAGCCTCAAATAATGCGGAGTCAAGTTTCATCCAGTGATTTTGAGCTGATGCTCATGTAACTAAAATCAATGCAAAGTGCACCTGTAATTCAGTAAATACTAAATCCTGTGTTCATTGTTTGCAGTTCTAGCTTCTTAGTCACCTGGATCCTTCCTGTCCTCTGCAAGACAGGCTGCCATGTGAGTGTGGATTTCATCTGTGTGCATTGCTCCGAACGCTTTGCGATGTCTGGAAGAGACCAGTTAGATTGTGGATGTTTTCTGTGTTCTGTCTCTTCAAAACCTCGAATTAAAATTAAAGAGGCATTAATGTCCTGAAATTTTGATTACAGAAATACTGGAGATTTTTATAGAAATAACACTAAACTATGGCCAACAGGTGCTATTAGGTAACATAAGCAACAGCCCCCACGTAGAGGTTTAATGAGTTATTCAATTCTTAAGGGATTGTAGTATTCTAAAGAGAAGATTTTTAATAGTTCTGTCCACTGCTGCATGTATTACAATCCTTGTGTCGGATGTAAAACAGCAAAGGCAAAATTTCCCATGAATTTATGCATTTTTCAAAATGTATGCCTCTAAATGTCTATTTCTAAAACTCCCTTCTTTAAAATGTCTGTACATTTCTCTGATCTATGTAATTTT